TTCGCGATTACTCTAAGCCAATCGTCATCTTCAAAGTATTTAATGGCGTTAAACAAACAAAGCATATGAAAATGCGCAAGTTTTAAAAGACAACGGATAAAAATGATACGGAGCATTTTCGAATTTTCGAATATAATCGGAGCCTGACTACTTAAAGGACAAAGAAGTCACAGTGAGTGGTTTTTAGACTTACGGTACCCAATAAGGTTTTTAGAAAGATGAATAAAGATGACGCATGTCCATACTGGACGGCTTTCAAAAATTGTTTCGCTATTCATCATTGTATGACATATATATGTGAATGTGACAGGTGATATAGAACGTATGATGCGGAAAGAAATAGCAGACTACAGCAAATTACAGCAACTGCCGTAATTTGAGTGCCTCAGTTTCGGTGCGATAGCGTCATATCTACCTCGTACTTAATATCGTTGAATACCATATTAATACCTATGTGTTAATACTACTATGATTTAATTAAATAAATTAATAATACGCATAATTCTCGTTTGTTCATCGTCTCTGGCTCGAAATTTGGATGTCAGAAGCGGTCAGCTGTTAAATGTGAGAATTACAATATATTCATCACCCTCCTGCACTTATCCCGCCTAGGTGGGGTCAGCGCAACATGTGAATCATGTTGTAAGTGGTTTTGGATAAGTTTTTTCTGAGCGCCTGTCTGACGTAAAGGAGGGCTTCCTTTGGAACCAACACCCAGATCCGGACAATTATTATCAGTGGGTCACACAAATACTTGTCTCTCGTCGAACACGACTCCCGGCACCGAATCAAATAGATTAGCAACTGCACCATCGAGTCATTCATAATCCACTATTGACGCAAATCAATTACATGAAAAAAAAAATAATGACCCTGTCAAAACGGAACGGGTGGTTACATTAGCGGCGATATTAGTAGTAACGGTATTACACTCTTCACAACGTCCTTTGGTCGCGATCAAATTTCATATTAGAATGTAGTGCTTGCTAAACGTACCTAATTAATCTGATTTTGGTATGTCATAATCAAACTGAAATCAGAGGCCTTTAAAAAGAAACGATGTTAAGAAAACATACAAAGATAAAGAAGTCCCTGATTTACCCATACCACAAAATCCACCCGACTTTCGTGCATTCATTTTGATTTTCCTTTGGTTACATTACTTTTGAGAAAACATTAACAAACGAAGGGTGGACTTTGCGATTGCAATGATACTATTGATGCTGATGAAAATAAGCCACGGCCAAGATAAGCCAATTGAGACATATTGGTCGCATCCTGTGATTATCCTGTTTGACACCCGCAATGCATTACCACTTTGTTTGGGTACGGTTTAAGTTCATTGATATTAAAACACCGGATCTAATAAAACCCAATGATTAATACTAAATGGATTATGCATACATAATATTAACCGTATTACCTACCTTCTTTAGAAAACATGCAAAAACAGCAATGGTTTTGAAATATTAAGGTACTTCACTAAATAGTATAAAACAAAGTCGCCCCGCTCTCTGTCTGTCCCTATGTATGCTTAGATCTTTAAAACTACGCAACGGATCTTGATGCGGCTTTTACTAGATAAAGTAATTCAAGAGGAAATGTAGTTAGCAAAGTTTAAATGTATAATATATTGCACCCGTGCGAAGCCGGGGCGGGTCGCTAGTATGATTATAAAAAGTACTTTACTTTTTATAATCATACTAGCTATTTGACGGAATATAGCTATAAAATAACGGTATTAGGATATGCGCTAAACTTTTTGTCATACTTAAAGGGTTCTGGTAAAAATATAAAATGTATCAAGATTACCACCACCATACGTAACCCAAATACGTTATCTCTATTTTCCTACACAAAAAAAAATTATGTAATCATTCCTTGTAATTTTAGTTGTTATTTTAACCTGACGTTAAACCTTTTACACTGTCAAAATACGTGACAAAAATGATCTTTAATTATTAACCTACCAGCAAATCGTTAAAGTTCTAATGACGTCTCTGTTTGGTATGCGCTGTTTTGCGATAAACAAAAGTTTGGAAAAGCAATTTTGTATGTTTGCGTTCACCCTAATGAGCTTGATAACGATTTTACACTGAGAAGTTTGTATGACGATCTTCGAGACTACGAATACAACTGTCACGAATGCATTTTGATAAATTTTATGAACACGTTTCGAATAACGCAATTGAACTTTTACATCGTGTATCTTGAAAGTAAACAAAATGAAGTCGCAGCTTGGGATAGATAAAATAGTCTGACTGACTTCATTAATTAGTACGGACATCGATGTTTTTTGAAAAGAATCTCTACTTTTTTTCAGATTTTGTCAAATCAAGCAATTCAACCTGAATATTTTATCAATAAAAATATTCCTGAGACGAAATAGTGATTAACACAGAATATTTTTTTTATTTCGTGGAGAAACGGCTTACATTGATTGCTATACTCGTATATCCAAATATTGACATTTTGATAAATACATATTATGAAAAAAATAATCAAACCTCGTGCTGTACATAGGTTACTGTTTCTTGTAATTTCAATCTTGATTCGATTGTAATGTTCATTCTTGCAACAGCAGAAATTGCTGGCCCTATCACAGCAGACTGTTGGAGGAATGGGTAGGCTCGTCTGGCACCCCACGGCTTCCCAGACCCTGGCGTTAAGCGGAAGTATTTCACTTTCTCGTTTCGTCTAGTGAGGTAACCGGGGCTCACTTCAAAGGCTCACAACGCACAAGCGAGCCTCCGTTATTGTACATATCATTGGTGGCGGAAATTACTTAACATCAGATGAACCGCTTGCTCCTTTGCAAACTTTTCACATCAAAAAACAAAAGTGATATTAATGTTTATTAAAGCATCATTCGATTATTAAAATATACGAAAGTAATATTCGAAAATACTTTTGTTTCCAAAATATACATATGCGTTGGAGATTTTTGTCTTAAAATCCCAACGTAATAGTCTTTTAAATATCTTACAATTTAAAATAATTATTTATACTATACTTACGAGTAGATATACTTCGGTATATAAATATTTAAAAGGAAAACTTAAATACAATAGAAGCGAATAGCGTAAGGAAATCTCGATTATGCCTAAAACGCTGTCGTCGTTTCTTGACTTACAGACAATACCGTGCTTAACTGACCCAATTTCAAAGGTTGCATCTTGTCCTAATTCCAAAGCGGCCTAAAAATCCGAGTTGAACTGGACGACGCGCTCGACGATTTCAATTTTATCGCTTCGTAATTTTTGACAAACCCATATCAACATTTAATTACGCAATCCTCCTCCGCACGAACTACCCGACACGACTTTTGGACTACTGTAAGTATTTGCAAAGATGCCCGATCGTCAATGTTTTATCATTGACAATAATATATACAAAGTGGTTAGTGACAGTCATATTGCTCGAGATAACTTTTTCATAAATATGCACGATAAATAATACTATGAATATTTCGATACTTTAGAATTTGGATTCAGTGTTTATAATGGTAACAAGATGTGCATTAATGTATTACGAATTTATAAACATACTAGCTGATCCGGCAAATGTTGTTTTGCCAAATAAATTATTTGTAGGATAGAAAAGAATAAAATAATAAAAATAAATATTTTAAAAAAATTGTTATAAATCTATTCTCCAACCTACTGAATATACATATAAAATTTCATCAAAATCAGTCAAGCCGTTTCGTAAGATTATAAACTCTAAAATTTTGACACAAGAATTTTATATATTAGATATGTAATCACAATTTCAAGATTGGATTAAACAATATTTCATTATTAACTACTGTTAATTTAATTTAAATCTTTTTATATTGGTTAGTGCATAGAAATGTGAAAATCATTTTGTTTATAAAATGAATGGATTATACTACCTGTTATCTTATTACACTTAAGGTTTGAATGTTACATGAACCTTATGCCTTGATGAACCTTGTATTTAACGAATCCAAACAACAAATGATTTAATGGAATTAATTGTAATGTACATACCTCTACACTGATAAAAAAATCAATCCCAGTTTAACCCTTCTCCTGTCACTTTCAAACATATTCAGAAAGAAAAGGACGAGACGATCGCTTTGTTGAAGAAACTTTAAAAGGAATGAGGATTAGTTAATAAACGTACTTATATAAGTAGACGTATTAATACAAACATTTGGCTTCCTTATCGGTCGTCTATATTAAAACTGGTGAATAATTAAATATCGTTTAGACACTGTTTTCTGTGCGTAATTAAGTACTTTGTTTAACCTAATTGGTTGTTAAGTATTAAATTTACTATTGACCAAAATCAATTGTAGCGTGTATTTCGACAGACACATATCATACTTAAAGCTCCACGTCCAGTTATTTGTTATTGTGAAATGATACACAGGGGTTAATATCTATGATAATTTTACGATAAACTTGTTGCGGTGGATTTTAAGTTTATTGGCGTGAAAAAGTAGAACAGAGCGTACCTACTTCATGCGAAAAAGGCACGCTGATCGAAGCCTTATAATCTACCACTCACCAGACTTAGGGGCATGGGCGCGGCGCGTCGCTCACGAGCGCACTCCTTTAACTAAATGAATCCGTGGTAAAATATCGCTTCGATTCTCCCCATTTCCTTAATAGAAACACCGAACATTGGTCAGGATTAATCTAACACGACTGCCCCGCCGCCGTGCACCGTTGTTGCTAGGTGTAGATAAATCGTCGACCCTAGCACGTTACATGAATGAAACCTACACATTTCCCACGAGTTTTGTAAATGTCATAACGGCATCAAATCGTGTGCGACTCGTCGTTCCTAAATCGGGACTTTTCATTGACTACGTGTAATATCATAATAATTCTGTTTCGCGTTGAGGCTTTGGCACAACGGTAACGGCGGTCGCGCGAGAGGGGGGTGGCGGATCAGTTGTGAGGTCTGAGCCTGACGTGTCAGTGTCGTATATCGGACGAGTCGTAGACGGCGGCGGCAGAAGGTCGGGGATGCCGGGAGCGCGCTCGGCGCGAGCCCGGGCTCCGCTGACGTCAGCGACGGCTCGGCGCCGTGCGGCCCTAGTCACCACCGTCGCCGGCCAATTATTATTTTCTACACACGGACAAGAACGGCGTGAAACAAAAGGCGACGGCGGCGGCGGGGCGCGGGCGGAGAGAGCTCGCCGCAGGAGCGACGCGCGGCGCCATCTAGCGGGTCACGCGGCGACCACTCGAGCCTACTCCTTTCGGGTCTGCGGACGATCGAATCGTGACGGGACCGCCGCGACGCCCGAACCTCACTGGCGTCGAAAACACTGTCACTGTACGGTGGTGACGCGCGGCGCGCCGGCCGCCGGGTGCTGTCGGGGCGCTACGCGCTGCGTCTGGTGCGTGGAGCGGGTCGTACCGTCGTCAGAGCGTGGCTGCGTGTCGTGGTGGCGGTCGGGGGGGCCATGCTGTCAGGCGGCGCGTGAGAGGCGCGGGCCGGGCATGGCGGGCTCCTGCTCGACACTGCGGTGCGGGCGTCCGCGGCGCGCGCTGCACGCCACTGGGCCGCGCACCGCCCGCGCCCGCCTCCGCCGCCGCTGCGCGCGCACGCCCGCACTAGGCGACACGGCCGCACCGCGCCTTCGACGCTCCGCCGCCGGCCTGCAGCCGCGTGCACCGGCACCACACCGCCCACACAACACAACGCGCGCCACCTATCGATTGTCGCCTCCACTCGCCCCTGCACTCTTCGAAAAAGGTCGCTGCGACGCACTTCAGCGTGCACAAAAGTGGTCACAGCTGAACCCGCTGACACGCTCCGGCCATTGTTAGTTAGAAACGGTTTTAAGAGACCACTGCAATGGAAGTGCTGAGACAAGTTTGAGTGCTTGTGTGATCACGGTCGCGGTTGAGTTCTGTTTATTTACGCGGTCGACTGTTGAACAAATGTTCAAGACTGATTTTTGTGTTGCATTAAGTTCCATTCCATGCTTAGGTTTCGTATAACTTTCGATAAATATAACATAGAATATAAAGTTCACGTTAAGACCAAAAGGGTTATTATTACGATAATGAAGAGACACGAATATTGTTATGGATAGTTTTTGTAATTAACAATAATTTATTTATAATTGATATGTTATACTCATATGTTTGTATGTACACATTGTCGTTATAGTCACTTAAATTATCCGGACCTTATTAGGAAAGCAGAGAAACAAGAAAATGTTGAGGTACAAAATTCTTTAAGAGAAGAGAGAACAATTTTATATTCGTGTTAGCTTTTATATGAATTTGTTATAAAATAAGAGGTTCCAGAGGTTTTTTGTTGAATAAAAATTTAACGCATGTGAAAAGTCGGCTTAATTAATTCATCCCCCTCCCCATATCCTCTATCGAAGATACATATAAATGTCAAAATGTCTACTCTAATCCATACTAATATTATAAATGTGAAAGTAATCCTACTCTCATCCATACTAATATTATAAATGTGTCTGTCTGTCTGTCTGAACCGATTTAAATGAAATGTGATACATAGAAAGTCTAGAGACTGAGAAAGGTCATATGGCTATTTGTTGGGCTATTATTCTGGGCTATTTTTTAATTGGTAAAAAGTGTTGTAAAGGGTCGCAAGATATTTATTTAAGGGCTTCAACGCGAGCGAAGCCGCGGGCGAAAAGCTAGTCAGTATAATCATCCTCCTGCAACCTCTAACACCCAGATCCGAAATAGGCCCCCAATTAATTGTCCGGTGTGGGAATCGAACCAAAGACACCTGGCAACGACACCGATTGCTTAGTTGCGCCACCGAGTCATCTTCATCATTCATATCATATAGCCAGTATTTTTTACATTCAGTTACAATTTGTATTAGTTTTTCGTACAATTAAAAATGTCATAAGTTCTCTTAAGAAAGAAAACTTTATTTGAATTTCGTCTCTCTTAACTGAGCCATAGTACTATGCAATACGTTTCAATTTTTAAACGCAGTATTATGCGGTCTGAAGAGTACATATAATTTAATGTCATATTTGATGCAAAAAGTTGATCTTCATTCTTTTAATACTAAACTGGATTAAAACTCGTCACGAAGTTGTTCTTTTATTGATCTTGATTTTCAATGAGTATTTTTTAGGTTTAAGGATCTTGATATGTAGAAAGCACATTTTTACGTGATATTTACATTATTTGATAAGACTGAGACTTATTATTTTAAATCCACAATCGAACAATATGTACATTATACATAATTTTAACATCATTAAAATTTAAGAGAATGACCGTAACAAGTAAAAAAAATGAATTTAACATCATGTGCTCGGTGCACGTAATATCAAATTGAAACTAGCTTCATTATTTACCTCCAATGCGGGCGTTCTAAGTAAGCTTCCGCGTAAAAAAGGGGTCGAGCTGTGAAAGCTCATGCATGTTAGCGAGCCCGCCACTCAAGCAGGGAGATGTAAATAAGAACCGGAGTACTTATGTTCTGAATATGCGCCCTGAATGTATGTATGCGAAACCTTACATATGCATAGTCGAGATATCTGAGGTTCCCGAGATAATTTGGGACCAACGCCGTCTTTTTATTTCAGCGTCCCATTCATCAGTAATTATAAACAAATGTATGATATTTGTGATGACCTAGTTACGATGTGTCACGTTTTATTTTATGTGAAAAGTTGTCCAACGTGCAGTCGTTTCACCTGATGTTAAGTGAATACCGCCGCCAATGGAAATCTACAACAACTGATGAGGGCGAGATGCGCTGACAACTTTTAAAAAATCGGCCAAGTGCGAGTCGGACTCGCGCACGCAGGTTTCCGTACCATTATCTATTGTAAAAAGTCGTTTCTGTTGTATAAGAGCCCCTCTTAAATATTTTAATTCTGTTTTTTTTTTTTATATTTTATATCCTATCGGATGACGGCGGAACTGTTCTATATATATGTGGTTTTACGTTTTTTAATAGTTGCCAATATTTCTAGCTATTCCTTCATTCTTTATTCTATCGACATAGAGGCTAAAATTGTTATAACTAAGAGACGAGATCCATCAACTTTGGAATAAAGTAAATTCTGATTTCAAGTGACTTATTTACTTTTAAAATTCGCAAGCGGTCAATGTTATGGTAAAGTAAAGTGAGTTCTCAGACTGAGAAATGGTCGTACACCTTGCATCCAGTAACGTAATGTTGTGTACTTCTCAATTCAAGCCAGCTTGCTCATGCAATGGCCTCTCGTAGCAGCAGTCTAATATTACCTAAAAATCCAAAATATTTTTTTATTGCGTTACACCTGATGATAAGAGATGTCCATCGCTTCATGGCAAAGTGTCGTACGTTAGTGGTGTTCTGATGATGATGATGGCCTAACTTTAATACTTCTATTTTTAATTAAAAAAAATACTACATTAATTAATCTCATGAAAATTGACAGTACACGCATATCACAACCCCAGAGAAAAAATTTTGACTCCTAGATACGAGAATCTCAATAGCTTTAGCAAAAAAATAACATGTTAATTTTCCTCTAACCAGCCCCGCTAGTTACTAGCGCGTTCCAGATCTTTCAATCCCTTGAGGATTTACGGTAATCTCTTCTTATATATCTCTAGTGAACAAAAAAATGACTGTCCTAAATTTCAGCGTTCTATTTTTAATTTATATCTGGCAATAAAGTAATCGTTGTAAAGTTGAACTACCAAGTATTAAATAAAGTCCTAAAGCCTCATGGAGATTTTAGGCCACATACGTGTTGAACATTTCTTTTGGGTTACCCTAAAATTTAATAATTCTTGATTTCCAATAGCAATGAAAGTACTTGTAGGATATGAAGGAAAAACATGGGGCACATGTAATATCCATTAGCTATCATCAACTTAAACATTTGTTTATCCCAAGTGCACTGCAAAAAGTTATTAATTTTAGTTTGTTACTAGCATTTATATTAAAATTATTAGTGCTAAATCAGTAAACCGATTAATACTATGCAGGTACGAGGCGATATTCCAAGTTCAGCTGCTCCACAAAACGAGCCGTTGTTGTTTTTATTTCTGATATAAAATAAATACAACACTAAAAACTTTTAATATTTGCAATAAAATCATAAATGACGGTTTTCAATCCTACTCTACTAGGTGTTCACGCAAAAAAAACTCAAAACACCAACAAACAAACACGCAAAAAAATTAAATTATTCACATGATAATTCTAATTGAATCGAGAACTGTCGAAAATATTCATTAGTTCGAAATGGAAAACGCAATGAAACAGCCGGAACGATTCGAATAATCTATACTTCATGCAAAATCGAACAGTAGAAATGAGACTCGGTACTTGTTACGGGGAACGCAGGAAGCGGGCCGCTTGATATTAATTGTAAAGTCACTTCCACACCTTCCCAATTACAAAGTTCAAGTGTAGGCATAACAGGGACGTGGCTGCAGCGGCGGGGCTGCGGCGACGACCTACTGACCGGGGTCGACGCCCGGAACGACACGGCCGCGTTTGACCCACGGACCTAGAAATGGGGGGACCTAGGTAGGCTTTAGGACATTTCTCCGAGGAACATCCTTGAACGGCTCTGACTATTAAGCTGTCTACCTAAACATTGCCTCCTTGCTTGGTTTACGTTGATTCATGTTCGCTAACTAATTGATCAACTAGCTAAATTTGTCAACGAGTTATAACTTTTTCTTGATTTTTCTCACAAAGCATGATCCTTGTAGGGAAGTGGGTTTCGGTTTCGGCCGAAATTCGGTTTCGGTTTCGGTTTCTGTCGTAAAAATCAGTTTCGGTCGGGCTCTATGTCAATGCGAACCAAGCTAATATTATTTTAAATTGTCAATTATGGTAAACTAAAGACCCATTTACACGGTGCAAGTTTCTTGCCTGTTGTATACAATTAAATTGAAGCAATAAATGAGTTGCATGGTCTAAACAACAAATGGTCTAACAAATTATTGCGCGCAATTTATTGCATTCAATTATTGCTCTTGTATGTACAAGAAAATGGCATCGTGTAATGGCATGGCATGGCCTTAAGACAAACGAACAAGAACTTTCGGCGCTGCGTAATTCAAACCGTTGTCTTCTGGGCGCGAAACGCGTGGTGATTATTTTATAACTTATTATTTTCTAATGCATTGGGAATTTTGAAAAGCATGTTTATTTTAACTTTTTTTACTTCGTGTAAACAGTACCTAATAGTTGAATGATAGGTTGAAATGTTAACAAAAAAACTCTAACAACCCAATTTAGCTTTTCGACGTAAGATTAATACTTTGTTATAAATAACACTTGCGCATTATTAAACATATGACACAGTGAAGTTTTTATGATAACGTTACGAGAACGACTCTGTTAAAATGTAAAAGAATCAAGTTTTCAAGTGGATTCTGGCGTAAAATTGCAGCATAATACTAAAGGAACTCTTGCAGCAGTAATCAGATATTCTGTGTTATCTCCTAGAAACGACATGTCTTTAATCCTAAACGGTTATAGTAGTCTTAATATAAGTTTTAGTTCTTTCGGAAAATATAATTTCGTAGTTATTCGGCTGAATTAAATATGAAATATTAAAAGCGTTTAAAGTTTATATTTTAATGTATATTGATCTTGGTCGCGCGTGTAGCATACAATCTTTCAACGGGCCTGAGTAAACATGTGCCAATACCGCGTCATATTGTCTGCTAAAAAATGGAAACATTCACGCAAGCTTTGATGGAGCACCCCGTTACAGACAGGCCCGTGAATACTTCGAAGTGTGCATTTGCACTCCACCCTGTGCCGCGCGACGGGCACAAAGCAAACCGTTGATGGCCTACAA